TGGTAGGACTCCACTAGGGGATTCTAGTGCAGATAGTGTTTGCATAACTCATGAGCGGATCAGACAGCGATGAGGGGAGAGAGGACAATGTGAGACTTACACGTTCGGGAGCACTTAGGGTCCCGCACGTGTTCCAGACCCTACACCCGGGAGACGAAGCACGACTTCGTGCCGAACGTAGAGCCCGTGCTCTTGCAGCAACGAGGGCAGAAGGGAACCTAGCAGCTAGTGAACAGGCTGCTGCAGCAGGCAGAGCAGTAGCAATGTCTAGCGCAGCGGCATCCTCTGCTGCATCGTCCGCGGTATCCTCGTCAGGGACCCATTTNGAACAGGCTGCTGCAGCAGGCAGAGCAGTAGCAATGTCTAGCGCAGCGGCATCCTCTGCTGCATCGTCCGCGGTATCCTCGTCAGGGACCCATTTAGGTATGCCCACAGGGTCCACGGGTACTTCCAGTTCAGTAGGTTCTCGACAGTCTACAAGTCAAATGGCGGGCTCGCAGTTCAGCCCGTTGACCCCACGCGAAAGGGAGCTTCTAGAGCTCCAACAGGTCGAAAGGATTTGTGAACAATTAGAGAGGGAACTGAAACAGGCAACTGATAGAGAAAGAGAAATTAAAAATAGAACAGCCAGGCTTGAAACGTTAGAGGGTGACAAAGCTGAGTTAGAGGGTTTGGATGAGTCAGGATTGACTGAACCAATGAGAGTATTGAAGAACAATATGCTGTCATTGCATGCGCATGTAGACAACCGATTGGACTTTATGCAGAACACTCTAGACCAGATCCTGGACATTTTGCAAAGGCCAGGATTTAGGCCACCAGCACAGTCGCCGTTGCCGTTAACGGCGATGTCAGGCCCCTTTCCCGTACAAGCTGGCACACAACCAAGTGGCACGTCTGCAGCAGTCTCACAGACTGTTGCTTCTTCTTCCTCGGGCCCAGCGGTGGTTGCTACACCACCACAGCAACCTGTTTCCCAACAGGGACAGCCGCAAGGTCAATGGTAACCTAAGACCCCTATGAAACCGCCTCCTTCCTTCTCAGGCGAGAAGAAGGATGCAGAACTCAACACTTGGTTGAGAACGGTTCTGGTATGGGTAAAGGCGAAGAGGACTTTGCAGGAGGAGGAGGTGATTACCGCTGCAACTTACCTGGAGGGTAAGGCAGCCAAATGGCTAGATGGTTTAGTTGCAAAGGCCGAGTACGGAGGACGCATGGCGGACTGGGCTAGGACAATCACGTTCGACCAGTTCATGGAGATGGTAGAAGCTCGATGGCACAATCCACAGCAGGCGCAAATGGCCACTGATGCGATGCACAGACTAGACCAACGAAAGTTCAAGTCGGTCAGAGAGCTTACAACTACCGTTTAGAGCCTTATCGTCGTCCCTGGCATCAACTATGATAACCAATTCCTGTTGACCACATTTGTAAGATGTCTTGCAGAGAACCTCAAGAACTTGCTGGCCAGCGAGGTTCGCCTCGAGTATCACTCTTTTGAGACATTGTCTAGAAAAGCCTTAGACTTAGATGCCACTCTAGGGAATGCTCAACCTACTCAGAATGACTCAAAGAAGAAGAAGAGTCCGCAGGAATGGAAGAAGAAAGGGGTTAAATTGATGATGGTTGAGTCCGATGGGACTCAAACAGAGATCGATGAGCTCACAGACCTGCTGGACGCTTCAGAGTACGACGGCGAGGAGATCGCTGAGGGTAGCACCCTCGCCGCAGTAGTCAAGGCTAAGGCTGGTGGCCGAGTGAAGGGCCATCAAAAGAGTCAAGGGAAGGCCGCCTCCAATCAGACCAAAGTTGCTGATCGGGTCAAGGCAGGTCTTGATCAGGAAGTGTGGCGGGACCGCCGAGTGCGTGGTGCTTGTATTAACTGTGGTGAGTACGGACACACCCAGTACAAGTGCCAGAACGCGAAGGTCACGCAAAAGATACCTCCTAAGATGGGGGCATCTTTTTCCTAGGCTTCTAGCTCGGGAAACACGTGAGGCCGGTGAAAGTTTTAGCTGCTTCTAATCATGGTGAAGTGGGCCCGATACCCTCCCCACTTCATGAGATGGCCATAGCTAATGACTCTTTAGTCACCCCGCAGACTCATCCAGACCAAATTATGCTCTGTACGTTGGATGTGTCTGAAGCCTTGGAAGATTTGGAAAGTGAGTGGTCAAACAAGGACCCTTGCGAATCTTGGGTGGCACTAAGGAAAGGTCCTAGAGGGGAACGTTTCGCGGTGGAAGTTGATGTAGGAGGCCGCAAATGTGGTGCCTTCATAGACATTGGCTCCATGCGGAATTACATAAGTCGCGACTGTTTGGAAAGGCTGCACCTACAGGACCGGGTATAACACCTTAGTAGACCAGTAGCATCTACTTTGGCCAATAAGGAGCGCATGATAGTCACAGACTATATCAAGGATGTAGTCTGTACCTTCTCCTATGGAGGAGGGGAACTGAATCATAAGATTTCATTCCTGGTTAGCGACGACTTGCCGTTTGACATGTTGTTAGGCATGTACTACCTTGAGGTTGCTAAGCCCCAGTTCGTCTGGGACAAGAAGGTGCTTAAGCATAAGTTGCCCGATGGAAGAACAGTCAGATTGACTAAGTTCAAAGCTAGTAGCATTATAGATACCTATGGCTGCTTGTGTGCATCAGCGTTCTACAACTTTTACAAACAGAACCAAGAGGAGGGTATATGTACCTAGTGTATGTCTCTGAAAAAGGGGAGGTCGTTAAAACACCCCCAGAGATAGAACACGTCGTTGCTAAGTTCTCTGATTTGTTCGAGGAGCCTACAGGTGTTGTAGAAAGGGAAGTTGTCCACGCTATAGAAATCATTCCAGGGAGTAAAACCCCAAAGGGAAGGATCTATAGGATGGCTCCCGCCGAGTTAGATGAACTTCGGCGACAACTGAAAGAGCTGACAGAGAAGGGATGGATCCGGCCTAGTACTTCCCCTTACGGCTCTCCAGTACTATTTGTACCAAAGAAGGGGGGTACATTGAGGATGTGCATTGACTATAGAGGCCTCAATGCCATCACAGTGAAGAACACAGAGCCTCTACCTCGCATAGACGACCTACTGGATAGGGTGCAGGGATGCAAGTACTATAGACTTGAAATCCGGATATCACCAGATCACTATAAGACCTGAGGATCAACGCAAGACAACTTTTCAGACTCGATATGGTCTGTATGAGTTTGTAGTGATGCCCTTTGGTCTTTGCAATGCGCCGGGAACATTCTAGCACGCTATGAATCGGATCTTCCATGACCATTTAGATAAGTTTGTCGTGGTTTACCTTGACGACATTCTGATCTTTAGTAAGTCTGCCGAGGAGCATGCACAACACGTTGAGACTGTACTTTCACTCCTGCGACAGCACAAGTATAAGGTCAACCTAGAGAAGTGTGAGTTTGGACGCACTAAGATCTTATACTTGGGTCATGAAGTGTCCGCGGAAGGGATTAGGCCGGACGATGCGTGGCTAGTATTCGAGACTGGCCACGACCTCAGACTGTCACTGAGGTCAGATCTTTCTTAGGAATGTGCGGCTACTATAGAAACTTCGTAAAGAACTATTCTACAGTCGCCTCTCCTTTGACGGATCTAACTCGACTTGACACGCCGTGGGACTGGAGTGATGAGTGCGAGGGTGCTTTCAAGCGATTGAAGCATGCACTCATGAATTATGAAGTTCTCATGGTTCCCGATCCTCAGAAGCCATTTATAGTGACCACTGACGCAAGCCAATATGGCATTGGCGCAATGCTGGCTCAGCAGGATGGGAAGAAGTTGAGACCGATTGAGTACATGAGTAAGAAGATGCCATCTAAGAAACTGGCAAAGTCCACCTATGAAAGTGAACTCTATGCTCTCTACAAGGCACTTGTCCATTGGAGACACTTTCTGTTGCGACGGTTCTTCTACTTGAGAACTTACCATCAGACGCTCAAATGGATCAAGACTCAACCGGCTCTTTCTGATGCACTCAAGCGCTGGATTGAGGTCATAGATCAATATGACTTCAAGCTTGAGTATCTGAAGGGAGAGTACAACAAGGTTGCGATGCGCTATCTCGTAGAGCAGACTACCTAGGGGCGCTGGTTTCTGAGTTTGGTGTATCTCAGGAAGTAACTCAATCGTTGGTGGGAGCCTATCAGGAAGACCCTGTCACGATGGACATCATTCGCAAACTTCAGGCAAAAGACAAGGCCATAGAGAATGAGTTTGTGATGGTGGATGGGTTACTCTTTCTTGATAAGGTCGGGTGCAAAAGGTTAGTAGTTCCATCAAGTGAGAGTTTGCGTAGTTTATTTCTAGGAGAATGTCATGACGCAACCGGACACTTTGGCTACAAAAAGCCGAGTGTCAATCTAGTACAACGATTTTGGTGGCCTGGAATGCTAGATGACGCAAAGAAGTATGTAGAGACCTGTCAGGGGTGTCAGCGGGACAAGCCGCGAACTCAAGCACCGCTTGGGTTGTTGAAGCCCTTACCTATCCCCGCTGGTCCAGGACAGAGTGTTTCCATGGATTTCATGGACACCCTGGTGACCAGTAAGAGTGGCAAGAGGCACATCTTCGTCATCATCGATCGATTCACCAAGTACGCTAGACAAGTTGCCATGCCAGAGACCGCAGGGACTGACCACGTCATCAAGTTGTTTATGGACAACTGGGTGCGTGGCTTTGGACTTCCAAAGTCAATAGTTAGTGACAGAGATGTCCGATTTACAAGTGAGCTGTGGAAGAAGACTGCAGAGAAAATGGGCAGTCAACTTCAGATGACTTCAGGGAATCATCCCGAAGCCAACGGACAGGCCGAGCAAATGAACAGAGGTGTACAGCACTTGCTGAGGCATTACATCAAGCCCAACCAGGATGATTGGGATGAGAAGTTGCCTCTCATCGCCAGCTTGTACAACAATGCTGTACACAGCAGTACTGGCGTCAGTCCTAATCAGCTGCACTTGGGATGGAAGCCTAGATCAGCTCTAGACTTCCTCCTACCTGAAAACTGATCCTCTGCAACTCCTGGCACACTTGAGTATGGTGTGCAGTATGAGAAGTTGCTGCAGCAAGCTGTCGAGCACATCAAGAAAGCTCAGCAAGCAATGATTGCTTCTGAGAACAAGCATCGACGATAGTCCTCATTTCAGGTAGGGGAACATGTCTGGGTCAAGGCTAGTGAGCTAGGACAGGAATTCGGTATCTCTAGAAAACTAATGCCTCAGTATTTTGGTCCTTGGGAAGTCCTGGATGTAGTGGGGAATGAGATGGATGGTCCTACCTATGTTATCCGTATCCCTGGACACCTACGCACTTACCCTGTCTTTCATGCCTCAAAGCTTGCACCTTTCGCTGAGACKGATCARTTCCCKTCAAGGAGATSGATGYTGCCCCCAACCATGGATGGTCAAGTGGACATCRACGACATTGTGGATCACAGAGATCTGCCTGTTCAGAAGCCATTGGGTAGAGSAAGACCYCCTAAACCCAAGAGRGAATATCGCRTCAGATTCAGGCATCATACGGATCCAAAAGAAKACCRGTGGTTCACCAGMGAGGAACTGATTGACACAGCTCCTCAGGTGGTGGCAGAATATGAAAGGATGCTGAAAGGGAAGGCACCTGCGAAGTAAGCATCTCAGCGGACTTTCGAAGCTAAGGG